AAAAATGACTAAGTTATTTTCCTCACAACATCTTCATAACTAAATTTATAAAAAGCTGAAATCATTCCAAATATACCCTATACAGTGAATATTTTCTTAATCCCATGCAGATGTATTAAGATCACTGAGTTTATAAAGAAGTTCTGAGTTCACAAACTGTAAGAACAAATGAGAGTTGAAGTCTCTATAGATCTTTCACTGAATTGAGTAAAGAAAATTATCTTTGAACTTTCTGACAGTGCTACCGACTTTGCTACTGTGGACTGATGAATTGATGCTTTGACGCCCAATATCTTTGGATGGCATTTGAATCAACTGTGAAAAGTAAGCATAAAGGCCATTTTTAAGCATCTAAAATCTTATCTTTATGAGGCTTTGTGTTTATTACAGAATCACAGGTCAATCAAACTACTACCAATACTAATGAGGGTCTATCTGGGAATTTTTTTACCTATTGCTTTTGTAATGGATTCCATCACAATGAGTGCTTTACGGCTGAAGTCTCTGTCACATACAGATTTTTTTTTTTTTTAACGAAGAATCTACCCGCTGTCACTCCAAAAGGAGAGCTTGGCTGCGTAACCTAGCGAGGCCACTCACAAATTAAATATCGGGCATACACTTGCTTTGCCCCACTGAAGAGACGAGGCGGTAGCAAAGGGGATTCGAACCCGGGATGGGGGGTTCCCAATTATGCTCGCCCACCAACCACCCTAAATCTTGGTGGGTCACATACAGAATTTTGATCAAGCATTAATATTTCAAACTTATTTATCTGAAATAGGTAGTTTTAACCCTTTATTTAGCCCTTTGGTTTTCCTACGCAGTGGTTGTTTACAGAAAGTGACACTTCGTATTCTGAAAGTGGAAGAGATCATTTTTAATAAGGATTACTTAGTTTTTTTGCGTGAAAATGACACATATTAGCTCTTATTATTTAGCAGTGGGGGCAAGTGGTAGTATCTTATTATTTAGCCCTATGATTATTTATGTAAGCGATTTGGAAGTAAATAGCTCTAATATCTTCTAAAAACTCTTTAATGGCTATTCGAATTAGTCTTTGTATAACCAATCATTAAATTTTGAGATCCTGATATGTGGCGAGAGATGGTGGTCGAAAGGATCGTAGCAGTGTTCAACAAATGGATGGAAGACCGACGGTGGTCGGGAAGAACTCTTGCGGAGGTTGATGAATGGGTGGAAGTCTATTGGTGATCGACGAATAGGCGGAAGGCCGACAGCTGTTGGGATGAACTCTGATGGTGGTCGACGAACGAGTAGAAGTCCGACAGTCGTTGAGGAGAGCTCCTGCGGTGGTTGATGAGTGGGCGGAAATATAGCGGCGGTCTGGATGAACTCTGAAGGTGGTCGACAAACGAGAAGAAGTCAGGCAGTGGTTGAGGAGAACTCCGGCGGTGGTTGATAAATAGGCAGAAGTTCGACGATGGTCTGGAAAAACTCCGGCGGTGGTCGATGAACGAGCAAAAGTCTGCAGTGGTCGAGAAGAACTACAATGGTGGTTGACCAGCGGGCGGAAGTCCGGCGGCGGTCAGGATGAACTCCGGCGGTGGTCGACGAACGAGCAAAAGTCCGGCAGTGGTCGACGAGAATTCTGGCGGCGGTTGACAAGTGGGGGGGAATCTGTGGTTGTCGATGAACAGGTAGAAGTCCGACGATGGTCGATGAAAAGGCGGAAGTTTGACGACGGTCGGGAAGAATTCCGGTGGTGGTCGGCGACGAATCTGCTCCCAAATTCCTCCCTTGTCTTCCTTCCCCCCTATCTCATGTGAAGAATGGGGCTATTTATAATTTTTTGAGAGTGACATGACTTTTAAATAATGGGAGGATCAAGGTCAAAATGGGAGTGTTTGAATGGATGACCAATATTGATCCCTTTGATAGTAGACTGTTTAATGGTTATTTAAATGCCTTCATGATATCTAAATTTTGTGATCTTGGGTTCATTGTATTTGTCTTGTCTAGCCGCTCGATTTGAATATAAGCATGTCATGTTTAGAGTTCGTTTGTACTCCAAACTAAGCTTTGAATAGTTCAAATATGTTTTGGACTCTTGATTTGGGCTCAGATCTGACTGGTTTTGGTGTCGATGGTTTTGTCTTTCCGAGATGTTCAGATCGACTATAAGTTTGTTGTAATTGGTCGGATGATTCCAGATTTAATTCAGAAGCTTTCAACTCAGTTTTGCCTTAAGATTCATGTCTGATCAAGACGAATTTTCGTTGGCGTATCAATGGCTATTCGAATTAGTGTTTGTATAACACATTGTTAAATAAAGATGATGCGAGACTATTTATAGTTTTTAAAATATTATTTTGAAAATTTTAGCTAAAATCTCAAAAACACTCCGTCAAATAATCCATGCTAATTTTCTTGACCATAAATCATTTTTTTATTATTTAAATGTCTTAATGATCTCAAAATGTGTGATTTTTATAGTTATTGAGTTTGTCTTATTACATACCATGTTGGAGTTACCCAGAATTTGGCTCAACCCTTATTTGTTCATGTTCTTGATCGTTTTAACTTCACAAATATGTCGAGGGTCCAAGAAGACAGCGCCCCTTAGCGGGGTTCCACGTAAATCTCTCGTATTTGTCTGTATTTTGTAGATTGTGATTTATTATTTCTATATATATTTGATCCTTTGGTTATAACATTCAAATATGTACACCAGCTTTCTCTCTCTCATGAACATCATAGTCATAGAGGTGATAGAAAGAAAGTTGATAATTATGTGAAAAGGAAAGGACTTGTAATTTTTGCGAAGCAACCATTGGACATGATTTTTTTTTACGAAGAAATTATAAATTTTATGGGTTTAATTATTTTAATTGATAAAAAATTAACATAATCTGAATTTTTAGTATCGTTTATATCAAATTTATATTTTAACATTCATTTATTTTAAAATTTTAAAAATTTTAAAATTAGTAAATTTTGAGAGTAACACAGTACTCATGAATTTATTTAAATTATGACTATATTCACCGTTAAAATAAAAATTACTTTGATAAATTTTTAATTTGGATTCTTAAAATCACTAAAAGACATTAATTAATACGATGAGTTTAAATGTTTTGAAATAAATATAATATTAATTACTAATATATTACTTAAAATAAATTTAAAATTTTTATAACCCATCCTATCAAATTTTTATGACGATATTTTAATACAAAGTTGTTAACCGCTTCGGTTACCAAACCAAATATTGCATTTGGCCATTGAATTCTGACTGACAGCTGTGATGTTTGCCTATTTTCCAATAGAGATTTTTATTTTTTATTTTTTGAAAAAGTTTACGATATTTCCTTTACTCTTTTTCTTATCATTTTATTTCTCTCATATATTCTTAATGTATGTGTATATTTAATAATTTATCATTAATATTATTAAATTGTTATTCCTCCAAAGGTTGAAATAAAATTTGTGATTAAATATTTTAACATAAATTATATTATACTAACGATCATCAAAATTTATTTTTAGATTAGTACACTACAAATTATTATTACCTTCTAAGCATATTCTAATAAGATTTAGAACAGAATATCCTGAAACTTTTCATTTAAGCATATAAATAGAGCAATATCATGACATCAATAAATCTAAATTTTTTAGACAACAATTATTTAAAACATATATAATGAGAGAAATTCATTATAATTTATAAGATTAACATTTCAAATTTATTTAAGACAACTAATTTATTAAATTTTCCTTACATTATTTAATATATTATCATTTTTCAGTTAAATTTTCATTTTTTTCTTGCACTTTTTTCTCACAAAGGTATATTACTTTTTAACAAAATCTTTTGTAAAATTTTAATTAAATTTATCCATATCTTACTAAAAACAAAAACCTTTTTTTATCATAATTAAATTAAAATTAATCATGGCCATGAGTCCATGACCATATTTTAGTGGTTATAAAAGAAAAAAATTAAAATTAATCATTTATTTCTTAGTTGTATCTCACAAGATGTTGAGTGAATTTAATTAGAGATTTTTACATATATAACACCTAAAACTATTAAAAATACATATTTAACATCTAAACTTTTATATTTACTAATATACCACCTAAAATCCCATTTTTCTTCTATTATATCACTCCATTGAAGAGATGAAATACCTGTATTCACTGTGAAAGGATGTCATTGACGAACAATTATTACGTCCTCTGACCGGACGTAGAGCTACATTCGGCCGCCAATAACATGTCGCCACGTGCTCTTACTCATTATCACGCGGCCCGACGACATGACCTGTAGCGGAACCCGTAAATGCTATGTTCGCGATTTTCTCGGTATTGCTAGGTATTTGCTAGGTATTGCTTTGCAAAAATGAGAAATATCGCTCTATGAAGACCAATACCATGCAAATACCGAGTTGTACCGAGTTTTTTTACAACTCGGTACAACTCAGTATTTGCTTAGGAATTGCTCGGTATTGCTAGGTATTTGCTCGGTATTGCTAGAAAAAATTCGGTACAACTCGGTATTGCTAGGCATTTGCTCGGTATTGCTCAGTATTGGTTATTGACGAGCAAAATCGACCAATACCTAGCAATACCGAGCAATCTTGGGTCCATTCCGGGTCGGGTTGTCGGGGCGCTCGGTAAATAATGAAAACGCGTGGCGCGATTCTACTAGGGCCGAACGTAGAGTTGCGTACGTTCACCATACCAAATAAAAGTTCGTCATTGACAGAGAAGACAATCGTTGATAGTGATTTTTGATGTAAGGATTAAACGAAATATTAGAATTGATTAAAATAGGAGTTTTAGGTGGCATATTAGTAAATATAGAAATTTAGGTGTTAAATATGTATTGTCAATAATTTTAGGTGTTATGTACGTAAAATTCCCATTTAATTATAATATTTGCATAACTTTAAAATTATAAAAGTTAAATAACCCAAAAATCTTTTTTTTTTTTCATAATCTTTCGTCCTCTATAAATAGGCATGTAACGGGTAGCCATAGTTGGCAACCAGGACAAGAAGCCGCCAACAAACTAGGAAAGATCATTAGATGGCGTCCTACTACGCGACGACTTCCAAGTGGTCGGCGAAAGAGGACAAGGAGTTCGAGCGGGCTTTAGCGACGTTCGGGGAGCACACCCCTAACCGTTGGGAGAAGGTTGCGGCAGCGATCGGCGGCGGAAAGACGGTGGCGGACGTCCGGCGACACTATCAGCTTCTCCTCGACGATATAGACAGCATAGAGTCAGGCCTCGTTCCTTTTCCCAACTACCGCACTCACCCAGCTCCGCCTAGCGCTGCCTCCGCCGCCGCCGCCGCCGCTTCTTTTCTAAATGATGATCGCCAGCGGTAGGTTTTTAGTTTATTTTCGTTTAATTTTTCCAGTGATATTTATTGATGGATGTGCTTCCTTCTTGCTCTGCTCATCTTGTGCAGTTTCTTTTGATTTTTACAATTTTTTTTGAGTGAATTGCATGAATAATTTGCATATTTATAAAACTAACCTTTTTATATTTATTTTTCAATTTCTCATTAAAATATTAAAATTTATGATATTTTTTTTCTTTTTTTCAAAAATTTCAACCATTTTGTCCTTGCAGTTGCAATATGTAAAATTCTTTATTTAAAAAATTAATAAAATTTATTAATGCGGATGCCAAATAACTTAGTTGAAAAAAAAAAATGAAATGAGTTATTATATAATTAATTTTTTATTTTAAAAATGTTATATAAGATGAAAAACTATATCTTTCAGAATTTTGAAAGAGTAAAAAAATAAAATAAATTTTTATGAGTGTTAATTAATTAAATTAATGAATTTTTCAAAAATTAAAATCATGTGATTAAATTTGGGTTACATTAAAATTTTTATTTGGACACTAAATATGGACTATTTAGATGCTTTTTATTAAATGACATATATTTAAATAAAAATATTTGATATTTTCATTACAAATGTCTTGCATTCTCAACAAATATTCTTATTGTAGAGCAATACTATTTTAGTTGAAATTCTTCAAAGAAAAATTGTTCTTTAACTTAATCGCAAATCTCATGTAAAAGAAAAAAGCCTTGTAACGGAATATAATAAAGGTAAAAAAAAAAAGATTATTTTAAATTTTTATTTATTAAAATGGGAGGGAAAAATTTTAATTTACAAAATGAGACATTTGTTTTGAGGACAGGGACACTGCCTGTCTTCTGGACAAGTCATCGTCCATGTGGCAGAATAGTTATTTATTTATTTTTATTTTTTTCCTATTAAGTCTTTCTTTTAATAAAAATTTCTTATTGTTTTTCAATCTTTTTTAAAAGCACCAATTGTTTTTTTTAGAAATATTTTAGTATTTTGAATATAATTTTAAAAACTTTTTTATTTTATTTTGTATAATTAAATTTTAGTTAATAAATTTGGCATGACGATTTTTTTTAGATGAACCAATTTTAGTATTTTGAATAGAGTTCTTTTATTTTATTTTTTAGGTTAACTTTGTCATATGCGTTTGATTCTTCATATTAGTTTAACATTCTTTTTTGTATGTTGAATATTTGTGTTGGTTTACTAGGTTGCTAATCGATAGTGAGATATATTATATGTATAAGATATATTTTACTCGATTTTATCAAATGTAATTACAAATAAGAACAATTTAAAGAGTACAACAACGATTGTAAATAAATGTATAATATGATTATTTATATTCCTTCATCTCAGATATAATTTATTCATATATAATCTAGATTGAACTTCATGACTATTTTTTATTGATGCATAAAACCTTTCGATAGATTTGTAAAATCATCATTAGTGTTTGGGGAGCAGGCAATTGAAGGAATGTATAGCACGGTCGCATGGTCTTTCATTAGAGTTGAATGTGAAATATAATCAATTATATCATTGTTGTATGCATGTTTGGACCTAAGAGCAAGATGAGCTGCTATGAAAATTACTTAGGAGAGCCATAATGATGAGAAATTATTTTGTGCGGAGATCGAACGCAGAATGTCATCCGGTGACCAACAAGAATGTGTCACGTCAGTGGTACCGAACAGTACTGAACACAGGGGTGACATGACACATTTTGGTTGACCTCCGGTCTCCGAAAGGCATTAGCGTTTGACGTCCGCATAGAATAATTAATTCATAGGTACACACAACAATGAAGTTGGTGAGTTTTTTTATCGATGCTAGATGGGAGCTTATCGAAGAAAGATTTATGGAGATTGAACAACATCTAGTCAGTTCTTACTTCTTTTAAACGAGGTACCATATGATTTTGGATGATGGGTTAGGCATTGCGATATAAAAAGCAATAAATTCAAAGCAAACTTCGATGATATCATACTATATATTTATATCATTAATAGAATTCAACAGAGGAAGAGCTTATTTTAGAAAAAAAAGCCACGTGACGAGCGATTTTTGCTGTAGCATAGAAGTCGTCATGCAGCCGATGAAATAACCCAGTGGCGACTGGCGAGCGATTTCATCATTTTTCCAAAAAAAAAAAAAAGAAATTCCGTTCTCTTTTACCAATAATTTTTAAATTTTCCCTAAGATAAATTACCATCGTGTTTTATTATGATACATATTGCCTTTTCTTATCTCAGTGGACTAGTGCATCTACAGCTCAGGTGATTCGTCTACTCGCAAAAACCTGTCGTGTCGATATATGACCTGTCGTGTCGATATATGACCTGTCGTGTCGGAAGCCTACATAGCAGCCAGCTCAGCATCATCATAATCTTATTAAAACTCTCTCTTTCTCTCTTTCTCTCTTTCTATCTCTACATGTATAATGTAGCTATCTATAGTTCAGGCTGGATGTAAAATATAAGGCTGGATGCTTAAGAAGCTTTAATGAATTGAAGATCAGTTTTAATTAGTATAAGCAGGCGTATTGAATGATGAATGGCTTTTCTCTGTATGGTTATGCATGCATGCATGTGCAATTGATGGGAACTGGGCATACATACAGATTACAGCATACCATGCATTGGAAATTAAAGGAAGTTATGCCCGACAGTAATTAATTAATAATTAATGGTAAATTGGTAGCATGCATTGGGTGTTTCGTTGCGGCAGGCTTCGTTGACTGAGCCTGAGAATCTCAAAGCCAGCTAGTTGGTGATAAAGATTTTAAAAGTTATTGTTAGCATGTTGAGATTCAATGGGGCTAGCAATAAATTTGTGATTTGATTTTCAACTTTCTCAAAAATTTAAAATATAAAATAAAATAAAATAAATGGTATATTTGAGATGATTATAACTTTTTATAAAGACTTCGCGCTCGGGAGTAATGCTTTCATAAGTAGCTTTGTAGCACATAAATTCAATAAAAGCAACGAGAAATCAATGGTCAAAAGCTGTCCTAAACAAAGGCAAAGATAGTTGGAAAGTTAATGCGAGAAAAATAACTTAGTCATTGTGATTGTAGAAAATAGTTTTCTATTATAGAAAATTTTGAAAAACAATGAGAAAACAACAAGAAATTAGTGAATTATAGTTGTTGTCTCAAAAGCAAAGCATTGAGAAAGTTGTCCTAAAAAGACCCTGAGAGACATGAAATTATTCTGTGTGGAGTCCGGACAAGAAGAATCGATGCGAGTATACACAATGATTACACATTTGTACATTGTGTGTATCAAAATTTTATACACAGTATACACAATATGTACACTCATAATCCAGACGTTTCTTCCGGTCCAAGCTCTGCATATAATAATTTCCCTTGAGAGACACACTAAAATATAATACAATAGAATGGTTGAGGAGAAATCATTCGATGTACTATGGCAAGGGTAAAAATTTTAAGTTTTGAATATTTTCTCAAATTTAAATTAATTAGGAAGAATTTGAAATATTTAATTAATATTCGTCTAGCTTGTGCAGTGAAATATTTTTCTTTCTTTTTTGGTTAAAAATACTTTAAAATAAATTCAGAAAAATAAAAAATTAATTTAATTGTGATGTGGACTTAATTTCTTGTAAATTTATGATAGAGAGTTAGAGACTATGAGTTTTAATGAAAAAAAAAAAAGAAATGAATGTAATGAAATTAAAATGGTATAATCAGTTGGTTTAACTATAGACCGGCTGTAACCCGCCACATAGTTCTTTAGTTCAAACTAAGGATTTTACTATAGCCCTTTGCAGTTTGCATGAAGTTTGTTAGGAAAATTTTGAATATCAAAATTTTGTCGGATTTTTAATTAGACATTTTGCATCTTGGAATATTCACGACGGTAGAAAAATATATAGTTTAATGTCTTAGTGTTGTACGAAGATTCATCACACAAGCAGATAAGAGAGAGGGCGTAACGTTCATAAGAGACACCAGGATTTTTACGTGAAAACTCCTAAAAAGGAGGAAAACCATGGGGCTTGACCCAGTTTGAATGAATCCAGTAGTATTTGCAGTCGATTACAAATGAAGCCCTTCCTTAGGTGAAGGCCTTGACTTGATGTCACAAATGTATATCATATAGAGCGCATTACATTGTGGGAGTTGCAATAATCAACATAGATGTGTTTGTTTGGTTGGAAGGGCCATAGTCGGGACGAGATAGGGGGAGACAGGGTTATGAAAGACCGTAGTTGGAAGGTGATCGGGGTCAGAAAGACCGTTGTCTAGTAATGGAGGTCAGAAGGACCATAGTCGCATGAGACAAGGGTCCGAAAGACTGACGTAGAAGGGCAGTACTCAGGGAGAACTCTGGGCATCAAGTGGTGGCCCGGAATAAGTCCAGGCATTAGGTGGTAGCCTGGTGGAGCTCAGGGCCTCAAGTGATGGTTCGACAGAAGTCCGGGCGTCAGGTGGTGGTGGCCTAGTGGAGCACATGGCCTCAAGTGGTGGTCCGGCGAAAGTCCGGGCCATATGTGGTGGTCCGGTAGAAGTCTGGGTCTCAGGTGGTAGTCCGGCAAAAGTCCGGGCCTCAGGTGGTGGTCCGACAGAAGTCCGAGCCTCAGGTGTTGGTGGCCTTAGGTGGTGGTCCGGCGGAAGTCAGGGTCTCAGGTGGTAGTCCGACGAAAGTCTGGGCCTCATGTGGTGGTCCGGCGGAAGTCCGTGCCTCAGGTGGTGGTCTAGCAGAAGTCCGGGCCTCAAGTGGTGGTTCAGCGGAAGTGAGGGCCTCAGGTGGTGGTCCGGCAGAGGTGAGGGCCTCAAGTGGTGGTCCGACGGAGGTGAGTGCCTCAAGTGGTGGTCCGGCGGAGGTGAGGGCTTCAAGTGGTGGTTCGGCGGAGCAATAATGTCAGGTGGTGGTCCAGCGGAACTTTGGCGGTGGTCGAGGATGAGCGAGGAGGCAAGAGCGATCTCCAATCTCTCTTTTGCTCTCTTGCTTGGAGCCCCCCTTTTCAAGAGGAATAAGAGGTCTATTTATAGATTTACTAGAGTGGCATGGCCCTTTAATAGGAGAAGGATCGAGGGCAAATCGGGAGTGGCTGGATGGACGGCCGATGTTGATTAACCCCTTGATGATGGACCATTTGATGGACATTTGAATGTCTTAGTGATGTCGGAATTCAGTGATCTTGGGCTCGTTGGATTTTTCTCGTCAAGCCGGTCGATTAGACTATAAGCATGTAAAGTTTGGTAATCCAAATTATGGTTCGAACCTTCAAACAACACTTCATGCCCTTGATTTGGACCAATTCAGGCTTGGATCTGGTTGAATTTGGTGTCGTTGGGTTCCTATTTCTGAGACGTTTAGTACAACTATAAGTTTACTGAAATCGAAGTTGAGATGGTCTCCGAATTAATTTTTGAAGTTTCCAACTTGATTTTGTCTCAAGATTCGTGCCCGATCAAGGTAATATTTTGATGATATATCAAGACAAATATAGTGTTTTTGTGCGGTTGAGATCTTTAAGTTAATGCCTTGCGTTAGACCATCAGAGATTTTGTTACAGATAATCAAAGCCCTTCATTTAGTACTCATACCCACACCCACCCACGTGGGTATGGGTATGCCAGTGACTTTATGGGTGGGTATGTGTATGCTCGTGACCTTGTAGGTGGGTATGGGTGAGTACTTAATACTGGGGGATAAATTGATTTATAATGTTAATCACCGTAAGTCGTATATTATCGCAATCCTTGCTATGTAGCGTGTAATATTGAGTCGCGTTGTGACCACGATAAATTCTGATATACTGCTTGAAGGTTTGTAGTTAGTGCAAAGAGCAACAAGCCTCAAGGCCATAAGTTAATGGCAAATTGCGTTCAAAAATGTGAAATGTGAGCGGGTATGGTGGGTACAACATCCAGAAAGTCACCATCGGCGGGGGGGGGGGGGGGAACCCGCCCACGTAAAGCATGAGCACCCAATGGATACCCAACTAGGACCCATGTAGGACTTTGTTGACCATCATCGTCGGCCACGGGTGACTACCTTCTTAGTTATGGTACAAATGAAATGAAGCCTCTATAAGGATGGTTGTCCAGTCAGTTCTTTATCTTCGTTTTATAAATGCTATTATGTCTTATCTCTTTATTTCAAAGTCTTTAAGTGGGCCTACCATGCTTTGGAATTCAGGAGGATATGAAGATAGATAGAAGAGTATTTTTATCCTACAAACTTTAGAATTCAGGAGGAATTCTCAAAGTGCACAAGGTATGGATATGGTCCACACAAAAAAATTCCTCAAGAGCTTTTCATACTCTTCGAACCTTAAAAGTACAAGTGATAAACATGATCTTCATTTATCTAAAAAAACATAAAAAGGGCATATAAGTTGATTCAAAAGCCGTGAAGAATACCTAGCTAGTACTTTATGGGTGTATAACCACTCAAATCAATATAACCACCACATGATAACATACTGTTAATCCATAGCTAAAAAAAGATGATATTACTCATCATAATCACTCTTATCATCCTTCAAACAATTTTGCTTCTATGATTATAATCTCACCTTGAATAAGGCTCACTAGCAAATTATATTTAAGAACATTCAAACTCTGATTATACTAAACTTATAATTGAAATTAACTTCTCAACAAGATTAACCCAATGGCATTTATAGTGATCCGATTTGAGTCCAAATGTGCGGAAATTAAGCATTTGAAGTATGATTAAAGTATTTAGAATATTAATTGAAGACCAAATGATCTCTGATTTTTGTATGCTTATAGAAAAAATGAGCGTCTCAACAAGAGAAAATCAACCAGCCTAAAATCAACTAATTTTGAGGTCGTTAAGATAATTCAATGTTAAATGAATGTTCTTTATTTAAGGGAATAAAAACGGGTAGTCTGATGAAGTGTATGAGATTTTGGCTTGATCTATCAAAACTATATCCTAAAAATTTATAAATAAGCTTTGATTCTTCATATATATATGGAGGAGATATAGACTTGGAATTAAAGAGAACTTCGAATTGTGAAGAAATCAATAACTTTATTCATTGATCGTCATTGCTAAACATTCCTTGTAAGTGCCTTCAATTGACCATCACAGGCCAGTTGTCTATTGTCAATTGACTTGTTGATGTCCGACTATTTTTGCCATTCCATACTCATCAATGTCCTGCTAATTAAACACCTTGGTCACCCGTTTGACATCACTTGACCACCATCATTTAATCATTATAGCTCATTCACTGTCATCCTTCCATTGTCGACTAGCTTTCGATCTCCATGATCACCCTTTAGTATTTCTTCAACATCCAAAACTAAAACTACAAGAGATGCTAAACTTCGAAATTTCTTCTTCTCCAATTTGTAATCTCTATCAAATATAATAGATTATTTCATCTAGCCTAGGTTTGACTCCATCTTTTCTATGTTCTTATATCTATGTGTATGCAGGATCTTCGCACATAATTTAGGATGTAACATTTTCTCTCCACTGTAAGCAATATTCTAACAAGCAACATTCATATTTTAAT